CACCTGCAATGCATTGAAAATGCAAGCGCTGATGTGAACTATGACATTGACAACCATATAACCTTCTTTCTGTGCGTTTGTGATGCCGAAAAAGCAACTGAAACACATGTAGTGTGAACTGGCCTAAAGGTTATTAGAGGTCAGGGAACGGGACTGACCAGGAATTGGGAATTCAATCAGACTAGTGGTGAGATACAATCAGCAATTGTATAATAATGTGAGATCTGAGCTGTAGCTGATAGAAAATGAGACACATTCACTTGATCAGTAAATAGATAGTTAAAGAGTGGGGCGGTGATCCATAGATTTGCATATGGGACAGGTGATGATGGGGTGGGGGAGGGGGTCAAGTTGTATAAGGAGACAGATTTAAAAGAGAAAAATGTTACAATGAAATATACACGGCATGAAACTTGCACATTTCCTAATTGGCAGAAGAACAGTACGCAAGTAACATTCATCCACTTTCTAGTCATTAGGCAAAATCATAATTGATTGATCAATATTCCTGGCACAACCCAGAAAATTGATCTCCATTTTTTTGGGATGTTGCCAAGACTGGGATTAGAACCCATGACCCAAGTGCTGTAAGTTCTGAGCTCTAACCACTAAACCACTGTGGGAGACACAGTTTGAGCTATAATGTAGAATAGTTACATTGTTTAAAAATGATAAAGCGAGCGCTGGTCAAATGATATAGACTAGTAAAATGGTATTACACAAGATAAATATAACCACGAACAGTTGTGCATGAACTCGTGAAAGGTCATCCACCCCTGTGACAGTGTACTACACTATTAAGCACCCTTTCTGGCTCCTGTGGCTGAGCTAATTCCTCCCCAGGACCATTTGGGCACCCACCCTGATGGATGGATGGATGGATGGATGGAGGGAGCTGGATGACTAACCCATAGCTGCCAGCATACCGCTGCACCCCCAGATGTGTGATGTGTATAACCCATGCACATTAATACTTTTGTTCTGGTGAGTGTAGACCAGTCCCAAGGGTGGTTTACCTTTCACGAGTTCATGCACTATTGTCCGTCACGGAGAGACCACACGTGCCATTCATAGGCACTCTCTGAGTTGGTACTCTCACACACGAAGGACATTCCATTATTCAGGAATGATTATATGAACTTATTTTTAGCACCATTTACCAGTTTACATCATTATTGCAATTCTTTGCACTTTTTGGTTTTTACATGCGTTCATTATTGATCACATGCATTTATAGCGCTGCACTTGTCTTTAACATAGAATGGTTATGTGATTAAAGAGAATGAAGAAGATATATAATTATATTGGGAAATTAGAAGTATATAAATTATTTGAGATATAAGTGTGAAAATGTTTAACATTTGAAAATAAATGTATGACATTCATTAGTAAATGCATTACTTTCCTGATCATTTTGGAGAAACAGCAAAAAAAAAAAAAATAAAAAAATAGAAAATTCTAATACAGCTGTACTATTTATTACATTCTAAGATTCTCTTTTGCTATCAGAAAAAACGCCAATGTTAATAAAGCCTGTGCTTGTGCGCCATCTAGCGAATATATCCGGTATTGCACCTAAAAATGTGCCAGACGGGATACCACATTCACTAATGGCAAAGTAGACGCTCGTTAATGGGCTTGTTAGACGCTGCTCAGACGACTGATTGATTGACCTGAGTCTGCCTGAATGGTCAGACTCTGCTGATAGACTCACATCTTAGTGAATCAGGGCCTTATAGTCCCATTAGTATAGATCTCCTTGGATCTCTTTATATTGCCCCCATGCTACTTAGTATATACTGTTGTTTTTCTTCCACTACATTTTAGTAGAAGTCCTTTCTTCCTTTTCCCCTTCAATAAATGTTTAGCGGCAATGCTGACACCTGTAGTTCCACTATCATTGGATGCGGCTGTCACTCTCTTGTTTTGAGTTGTACCTTTCAGTCTCATCTTTACTTCTTTTTTCCCTATTGTTTCTTTATTGTTTATCCAGCTTGTTCTGTGTATACACTGCTTATTTGCATAGTCACATCCGGGTGCTTGCATTCCAGATACACTGCTCCACACCGCTGGTTGGTGGTAAAGAACCACACAGGATTGTGACATGGAATTCTTCTGCTGGACGTTGTTTCTTTGATTTGATGAGCCTCTTTACTTCTTATCTCTTTTTAAATATTGGTATATTAAAGCTTTTCTAACTACTGTACTTGTGAGCACCTTTTTATGCTCTTACATTTCTCTCTTTGGGTTGGAGGAGCTTGCATTCTACACCTGTCTGCACACTACTCTTTCTACAAGACTAATAATTTTATTAAAATATTAGTCATCATTACCTATTAAAATATTCACAACACCTAGCAGTAAACAAAATTTCTGAAACTTTCCTGAATTTTATTGCAGCCAACAACTTCATTAATCAGTCCATGGTAATGAAATATTATATTCCTGTAGCAATATGTTATATGCTGTGTATGGCCTCTAGGGGTCTCACTACTTAGATACTGGTACAACTGTGTTATTGCCTCTCTTTGGTTGTAGTTCTGGGGCAGACACATGTATAATGGCAGCTAGAAGCACCTAATAAAATGTCTCCTGTTAACTACAGTGTGTGAGCATCTGAGCAGGATCCACTAACAGAACATGGTGGCAGCTGGGCACTGAACCTCTGAATAGCAAGTCTTCTGTCTACAAATACAGATTGTGTGACACTGGAACTGTACAGAGAATCAGCAACTGTAAGTACAGAGTCCCTATCAGACTGCACTATGGAGAGTGGCCTGAAACCCCTCAGAGACTGGATGTCACTTCTTCCAATCTCTCACAGACATGGAGACACTGGAAGGAAGAGTTTACTCTGTATGTGGACCTGACAGTGGCACCCAGAGATGAGCAGAGGGAAGTAAAGCTGTTTTATTACTTGATTGGGGAAAAAGGCAGAGAACTAGCCGAGACCCTGCTCACAGACAGCATGGCACTGACAGACATACTGCAAGCATTTGATAAGCACTGTGACCCCAAAAAGAATGAGACGGTGGAGAGATACAAGTTCTTCTCAAGGAATCAGGAGATTGGGGACAGTGTGGACAGATATGTGACAGAGCTGAGGAGACTGGCTGCAACCTGTGGATTTGGGGACATCAGGGACTCCCTTATCCGAGACAGGATAGTGTGTGGCATCAGAGACTCTCACCTCAGAGAAAGATTACTGAGGGAGGAAGAGCTGGCGCTGGAGAAATGTATACAAATCTGCAGGGCTGCAGAGCTGACTAAAGACAGGCTGAAGATGATGGAGGGCACCTGTCAGGAGTGGACTGGCCAGCAATGGTGGGACTCACCTGCCTTTTGATCTGCAGTACCAGGGCTGGCCAGCGGGTGCTCCCAGCAATCAGAGACTCAACCTTTCAGCCAGCTAACACCTGGAACTGATGATACTGGTGTATTTAAGGGATGGCCAGACTTGCAGACTCTGCCTTGGTGTTGTGTTTGTCCTGGGCCCTGTATCTGTCCTGCATCCTGTTTCTGTTCCTTTGCTACCTGTTCTGATCCCTGGCTTGTGACCCTGACCATCCCTCTGCCTGACCCTCTGTACTACGCTGCTTGCTACCTGTTCTGATCCCTGGCTTGTGACCCTGACCATCCCTCTGCCTGACCCTCTGTACTACGCTGCTTGCTACCTGCTGAACCTGGCCTGTGACCCCGACCATTCTCCGCTTGCTCCCCCTGTACCTACCTGCCCAATTGATATTGACTCGGCCTGCCTGACGACGCTTGCTTGTATGTACTGTTATCTGTGGGTGGTTGGTTGGGTTTGTTTGCACTGTATTATGTTTAGTATTGCACTGCGTTTATGTTTGTATTGTTAGTGTTAATAAATTACATTGTTAATCACATATCTGAAGTCTGCGTTTCCCTGCTTCAGTCACACACCTCTGGTCATACCTGGGAGCCCTGACATTACACCAAGGCCAATCCTGACCAGAAGTGGCTGCACAGGGAAGCCATCTTGGCTTGTTGATGGGAAGGATGGATCTGGATGAGGTTGCGTATTTATATCTGCTAGTGTTTGATGACAGGGAGTATGCTTATCAAACTCTGAAGGAGTATCCCCGGGATGAACTGCTAGAATGTATACGGCTCGCTCATGTTCTAGTAGATCAGGGCACAGAGTTCTCTGAGGTGCAGCCCTTTGATTGAGGTTTGTGCAGAGTTGGTTTCATCTGGTACCCCCGAATGCAGGGATGAATTTTTGCCACCATTTAGTGCAGACCAGGTAGGTCCCTGGTGTGGTTATTAGAGGATGATGTGGGTTACTTTCTGGAGCGTTATTCCACATGTTCACCACAGACACTAAGAGATTGTATAAACGCAGTGCAGTCATTGACCAGACAGGCTTTGTGTAAGCTCAGCTTTGTTCAACCCATACTGCAGACATGGACAGACTTGTTGCACCCAGCCTCAGTCAGCTTACAAAAACCCAGTCCTGCTTCTAACTCTACTCCTGTATTCCCAACAGCTCCTCCAGTTACAGCCCAGTATACTTGGCTATCTACCGCATGTCAGTACCCTGTTCCCACTCGCTGCACCTATCCTGCCTTTAACCCTGTAAAAAAGCCCTCTGTAGCAACTGCTCCCTCTCCTGTTCCATCCTCCAGTTCTTCTCTGTCTCCAGCTGCTCCATTCGTTTGCAGACCTGCGTTTACTTGCAGTGCTCCAGTAGTTAAAACCAGAAAAAAAGCGAAAATTCTTTCCAACCAATACCATCCTGCCAGTATCCAAACCGGTGAGCCTGCCTTCCGTGGTTCAGCCTGAAGCCTCTACTCAGCCTGAAGCCTCTACTCAGCCTGAAGCCTCTACTCAGCCTGATGCCTGTACTCGGCCTGATGCCTGTGCGCAGCCTGATGCCTCTCTTCAGCCTGATGCCTGTATGCAGCCTGATGCCTCTCTTCAGCCTGAAGCCTCTACTCGGCCTGATGCCTCTACTCGGCTGAAGCCTCTACTCGGCCTGATGCCTCTACTCGGCCTGATGCCTCTACTCGGCCTGAAGCCTACTTACTCGGCCTGATGCCTCTACTCGGCCTGAAGCCTCTACTCGGCCTGAAGCCTCTACTCGGCCTGAAGCCTCTACTCGGCCTGATGCCTCTACTCGGCCTGAAGCCTCTACTCGGCCTGATGCCTCTACTCGGCCTGAAGCCTCTACTCGGCCTGAAGCCTCTACTCAGCCGGACGCCGGCATTCAGCCTGATGCCTCTACCCAGCATGATGAACTGATCCAGCCTGACGATCCTATTAGGCCAGTTGACTCGATGCCCGCTGTTGATCCGGTACCTGATCCGGTGCCCGCTGTCGTGCCAATTGACTCAGAGCCCGCTGTCGTACCTGGTGACTCGGTGCCCACTGCCTTGCCAGATGACGCGTGTGCCCGCTGGCGAGCCAAATGACCTGATGCCTGGTGACCCAGTGCCCGCTGTCATACCCTGGTGACCCGATGCCCGCTGTCGAGCCAGACGATCCAATGCCTGGTGACCCGGTGCCCACTGCCTTGCCAGATGACGCGGTGCCCGCTGGGCAAGCCAAATGACCTGATGCCTGGTGACCCAGTGCCCGCTGTCATACCTGGTGACCCGATGCCTGCTGTCGAGCCAGACAATCCGGTACCTGATGACCCGGTGCCCACTGTCATGCCTGTTGACTCGGAGCCCACTGCCTTGCCAGATGACGCGGTGCCCCCTGTCGAGCCAAATGACCTGATGCCTGGTGACCCGATGCCCGCTGTCCAGCCAGACGATTCAATGTCTGCCCCCAGTGCCCCGCGGTCATGCCAGTTGACTCGGAACCCACTGCCTTGCCAGATGACGCGGTGCCCGCTGTCAAGCCCAAATGACTTGATGCCTGGTGACCCACAATGCCCGCTGTCCAGTCAGAGACGATCCAATTGTCTGACCCACCCTCGGTATACCAGTTGACTCGGAGCCCACTGCCTTGACCAGATGACCTGGTGCCCGCGTCGAGCCAAATGACCTGATGCTGGTGACCCGATGCCCGCTGTCCGTTCAGACGATCCAATGTCTGACCCAGTGCCCCGCGGTCTCATTACCAGTTGACTCGGAGCCCACTGCCTTGCCAGATGACGGGTCCGCGCCCCCGTCCACCTGGGGTCCCGCGCCTGCCGCTCCCGCCCCTGGGGCCCGAGACCTGTCGCTCCGCCTGGGGTCCGGCCCGCCGCTGCATCCCCGCCTGGGGCCCGAGACCTGTCGCTCCCCCTGGGGTTCCGGCCCCCGCCCCCCTCTGCCTTTTGGGGGCCCGGCGCCCGCCGCTCCGCCTGAGGCCCAGCCTGTCCCCTCCGCCTGGGGGCCCGGCCTGTCGCCCCCCTGGGGGTCCGGTGCCCGCCGCCCCCGCCTGAGGGGAGCCTGTGTCCCCTGTCCGGCGCCCCCCTCCGTGGGGCCCAGCGCCCGCTCCTCCCTGGGCCGATGCCTGCCCCCCCCCGCCTGGGGGCCCCGATGCCTGTCGCCCCTGCCTGGGGGCCCAATGCCTTTTCGCCCCTCCGGGGGCCCCCGCGCCCGCCCTCCCCCCTGGGGCCCGAGCCTGTCGCCCCCCGGGGCCGGCGCCCGCCGCTCCCCCTGGGGGCCCAC